CACGTCTAAGTCCATGCAGGATCATCAAACGAGGTATCCCCCCCCCATAGTCTTGCCTGTGGGGCTCAATCTGGTAGGCAATCTCAGAGGTTGCCTAACAGATCAGGCCCTGCACAAAACTCTGCTGCTGCTGGTGCCCTTATAACTTCTGGCTCAGTGGTTAGAGTACTTACCTAGGATGTAGGAGACCAGGGTGCAAATCCCCCCTTTACCTGATTTGGAGTAGGGATTTGAACACAAATCCTCCCACTCGCAGGTGAATAACCTAACCACTGAGATATGGAATCACTCTTTTTTCTTTTTCTTTCACCCAATGACTAGTTAACCATTGGAACAAATGGTTGTTGTCAATTCTCTACCGCTGGCAATTTTAAAATCAATATTCGATGTTTTTTTTCTGAAAATTATACTCTAGTGAGTTCAAACATAAATTAATTATTTTTTCTTATTGTCTCTTATTGAGAATGGTATGAAACAGTTTAACTTAAAATGCCCTAAATAAACTGTTTCCCTTTTTAAAAGGGAGAGTTACTTCAGGTTTTGTTCCTACTCAGGAGAGATTGCATGGTCTAGTGGTTGAAGCAGTGGACTGGAAGCGAGGGATAGGGAACCACTTACATGAGTAATTTCTCACTAACATGAGTAAGGGTTCTGCAGTCAGGACCTTAATCTTTTTTCTATGTTTCAGTTATTTTTTTCTTTTCCTATGTTATCGCTACCATGATAGGTTATGATGAGAACAAGAAGAATATCCTGGTGGGATAATAAGCATGACTTGAACATTGGTGTAGAAGGATACAGCTTGCTCAGGAAGGATAGACAGGGGGAAAAGGGAGGAGGTGTTGCCTTATATATTAAAAACGTATATACTTAGACTGAGGTTGAGTTGGAAATAGGAGACAGACTTCTTGAAAGTCTCTGGGTAAGGATAAAAGGGGTAAAAAACAAGGGTGATGTCATGCTAGGGTCTACTACAGTCCACCAAACCAGGAAGAAGAGGTGGATGAGTATTTTTTTAAACAAGTAACAAAATCATCCAAAGCACTTGGTGGTGATGGGGGACTTCAACTACCCAGACATCTTTTGGGAAAATAACAGAGCAGGGCACAAATTATCCCATAAGTTCTTAAAATGTATTGGAGACATTTTTTTTTTTAGTTCAGAAGTTGGAGAAAGCTACAAGGGGAGAGGCTGTTCTAGATTTGATTTTGACAAATAGGGAAGAACTGGCTGAGATTTTGAAAGTGGAAGGTAGCTTGTGTGAAAGTTATTATGAAATGATAGGGTTCATGATTCTAAGGAATGGTAGGAGGGAGAACAGCAAAATAAAGACAATGGATTTCAAGAAGGGAGACTTTAGCAAACTCAGGGAGTTGGTTAGTAAGTAAGCAAGTCTAAAGGGGAAAAACAATAGAAGACAGTTGGCAATTTTTCAAAGAGACATTATTTAGGGCACAAGAGCAAACTATCCCACTGCATAGGAAAGATAGGAAGTATGGCAAAAGACCACACTGGCTTAACCAGGAGTTCTTCAATGATCTAAAAATCAAAAGAGTCCTACAAAAAGTGGAAACTAGGTCAAATTACAAAGGATGAATATAAACAAATAACACAAGTATGTAGGGACAAAATTAGAAAGGCCAAGGCACAAAACAAGATCAAACTAGCTAGAGACATAAAGGGTAACAAGAAAATATTCTACAAATACATTAGAAGCAAGAAGAAGACCAAGGACAGGGTAGGCTCATTACTCAATGGGGGCGGGGGGAAATAACAGAAGTGCAAATGGCAGAGGTGCTTAATGACTTCTTTGTTTTGGTTTTCACCAAGAAGGTGGTGGTGATTGGATGTCTAACATAGTGAACGCCAGTGAAAATGAGGTAGGGTCAGAAGAGGCTAAAATAGGGAAAGAACAAGTTAAAAATTACTTGGACAAATTAGATGTCTTCAAGTCACCAGGGCCTGATGAAATGCATCCTAGAATACTCAAGGAGATATCTGAGTCATTAGCAATTATCTTTGAAAAGTCATGGAAGAGTGGAGAGATTCCAGAAGACTGGAAAAGGGAAAATATAGTGCCAATCTATAAAAAGGGAAGTAAGGACAACCCAGGGAATTACAGAACAGTCAGCTTAACGTCTGTACCCAGAAAGATAATGGAGCAAATAATTAAGCAATCAGTTTGCAAACAACTAGAAGATAATAAGGTGATAAGTAACAGTCAGAAAGGATTTGTCAAAAAACAGTCATGTCAAACCAACCTGATAGCTTTCTTTGACAGGGTAACAAGCTTTCTGGATGGGGGGAAGAAGTAGATGTGATATATCTTAACTTTAATAAAGCTTTTGATACTGTCTCGCATGACCTACTCATAAACAAACTAGGGAAATACAACCTAGATGGAGCTACTATAAGGTGGCTGCAAAACTGGTTGGAAAACCATTCCCAGAGTGTAGTTATCAGTGGTTCACAATCATGCTGGATTGTTCACAATCATGCTGGACCCAGAACTGATCCCTGCGGGATCCCAGTCGATCCGCAGGGATCAGTTCTGGGTCCAGTTCTGTTCAATATCAATGATTTAGATAATTGCATACAGAGTACACTTATAATGTTTGCGGATGATACCACGCTGGGAGAGGTTGCAAGTGCTTTGGAGGATAGGATTAAAATTCAAAATGATCTGGACAAACTGGAGAAATGGTCTGAAGTAAATAGGATGAAATTCAATAAGGAGAAATGCAAAGTACTCCTCTTAGAAAGGAACAATCAGATGCATACATACAAAATGGGAAATGACTTTGTAGGAAGGAGTACTGCAGAAAAGGAGCTGGGGGTCAGAGCGGACCGCAAGCTAAATATGAGTCAACATTGTAATGCCATTGCAAAAAAAGCGAACATCCTTCTGGGATGTATTAGCAGCAGTGTTGTAAGCAAGACACGAGAAGTAATTCGTCCGCTCTACTCTGCGCTGATTAAGACTCAACTGGAGTATTATGTCCAGTTTTGGGTGCAACGTTTCAGGAAGGATGTGGACAAATTGGAGAAAGTCCAGAGAAGAGTAACAAAAATTATTAAAGGTCTAGAAACCATGACCTATGAGGGAAGATTGAAAAAAAATTGGGTTTGTTTAATCTGGAAAAGAGAAGACTGAGAGAGGACATGATAACAGTTTTCAAGTATGTAAAAGGTTGTTACAAGGAGGAGGAAGAATTTTTTTTTCTTAACCTCTGAGGATAGGACAAGAAGCAATGGGCTTAATTTGCAGCAAGGGAGGTGTAGTTTGGACATTAGGAAAAAATTCCTAACTGTCAGGATGGTTAAGCACTGGAATAAATTGCCTAAGGAGGTTGTGGAATCTCCATCTGTGACAGGTTTGGTCACAGAGATCCCCTTGGGACTGTTACCTGAAGTGCCGAAATTACCTCTGAGCCCATTTTTCCTGCCAGCTTGGGACTCCAGAACCCTGTCTTGTTGAGCCAGACATGCTAGCCTGCTCCAATACAGACCCAGGGTTTGGGCCACACTTCCAAAGCTGCAAACTTTAACTAAAAACAGCTCAGCAGGTTACCTGTCTCCAGCACCCAGCTCCCAATGGGATCCAAACCCCAAATAAATCCATTTTACTCTGTATAAAGCTTATACAGGGTAACTTTGTAAATTGTTTGCCCTCTGTTTCACTGATAGAGAGATATGTACAGCTGTTTGCTCACCCAGGTATTAATCACTTACTCTGGGTTTATTAATAAAGAAAAGTGATTTTATTAAGCATAAAAAGTAGGATTAACTGGATTCAAGTAATAACAGCCAGAACAAAGTAAATCACAAAGCAAAAGAAAATAAAACAAGCAAGTCTGAGCCTAATACATTAAGAAACTGATTACAGGTAATATCTCACCCTCAAAGATGTTCCAATAAGCTTCTTTCACAGACTAGACTCCATCCTAGTCTGGACCCAATCCTTTCCCCTGGTACAGTCTTTGTTAGATCCAGCAAACATCTCAGGTAGTAAGCAGGGGTTTTCTCATGACTGGCCACCCCATTTGTCCCGCTTAACCCCCTTTTAAATCTTTGGCACAAGGCGGGAATCTTTTGTCTGTGCTTGTCCCCACCCCTGCCTCATCAATGGAAAAGTACAAGGATTAAGATGGATTCCAGTCTCATGTGACATGGTCACATGTCACTGTAAGACCCCCTAGTCTCTGTTCATCGTGGGTTGGCCCACATGTACACAGGAAGGTTTGCAGGTAAATAAACCATTTGCAACCAATTGTCCTAGTCAATGGGTGCCATCAAGATTCTAAACCACCATTAATGGCCCACACTTTGCATAATTACAATATGTCCTCAGACATATAAATGTAAATGGTTTATACTTCATATTTGTAGCTTCAGATACAAGAATGTTACATGCTTACAAACAGGAGGTATATATTCAGTAGGTCATAACCTTTGTTATGAGACCTTTTGCATAAAGCATATTCCAGTTACATCATATTCACACTCATAAGCATATTTCCATAAAACATATGAAGTTCAATGTCACACCATCATTGGAGATTTTTAAGAGCAGGTTAGACAATCATCTGTTAGGAATGGTCTAGATAATACTTAGTCCTGCTGAGTGCAGGAGACTGGACTAGATGACCTCTCGAGGAGCCTTCCAGTTTTATGATTCTATGATTACAAAGCAGTAACATTCTGTGATTAAAAAAAAAGATTTATTTTTTAAAAAATGAATAGATTCTATCTTTTTCCTCTATCAAATCTAAGTGTCAATGGCACAGATGAAACAAAATTAATCTGATTTTATTTTTTACTGTTGCAAACCAAAAACAGTTAAGAACTATTAATTTTCTCATAATCAATTTTATGTACCTGTGGTTCTCAGAGGGCTGTAATCAAGGCTTCCTTACCTGGATTTTATATCTGTGACAAACTCATATTTAATTCCAGATGATTTTCTCATTAAATATTATTTTTGTTTGTTTTTCTTCTAGGTTAACGGGAAGTTTTGTACCAGATTTAATTGTGAGCATGAACAGTCAGATGTGGTTACACCTTCAAACGGATGAAAGTGTGGGCTCAATTGGCTTCAAGGTGAACTACAAAGGTAACAATAAGCTACTGTGGACATGCTTAGCAGTACATAAATATAAGCAAATATTAGATAAGGTTTATTTTTCATGCTAGGAAATGCTCTCCATTCTCTATTCAGTAATACTGGAAGCATCCAAATGTCTTAGGCCTGATTGTGCATGGAGCTCTGTATAGCAGCTCTGTAAATGTCTGATTGTGTCCTTAGAAGGACTGAGTCCTCAGAATACAACTGAAAAGTAGGTTTGTTATTATTTATTGTATGTTCTATGTTGTAGAAAAGTCAAAATAAAATACTTCTGTGATTATTTAAATCCAGGCACTTGATACAAGCAAATATATTTCCACTTCAGAAATTAGCCCATTCTATAATTTATGTGATATGTCTAGGTGTAATTTGATTTAATTTGATTTATATTAAATAAATGTAAAGATGAGTTTCTAAACTCTTCTGTGTCTAACCCCCTGTGCCTATCACAGCAATCTGAACAGATGCCCAAGTCTGGAATAATATGGGTTGAGATTGCGGTATATCAGTCAGTTGTGTAAATAAACTTAACTAACAAGGTTCTTGAGCTGGTTTGGCATGAGGAGGATATATAGTATATAAGATGAAAATGCTGTTGCTGTTGTGAGGATGTATTGGTATCTATGTGGTTTTCTTCTTATCGGATGCAGAGCTTGCTAAGCCAATGTACGGTAGCAAAGTGTGGATCCCTCAGACAACCATCAAGTCTGGTCAGAGGGCAGTTGTTAGTGATGCATGACTTTGTCTGTTTTTGGCCACAACAACATGTGTGATCCTCTTGTTCACCCTAGGTGATCTATGTGGCATAAGCATCAGTTTCACCCAAAAGTTTAATAGTAAAGAGAAAAAATAAAGACAATTATTGTTTTATTTTCTTACAGAGGTAATGGTATACTGATATATCACCATAGCCCCATGGTACTTGACACAGATTTTAAAATGACATGGTCCCTGCCCTGCAGAGCCTAGTAGCTAAATTAGAGCAACAGAAAATATGGTGAGAGCAAACAAAGAAAGGTGGAAAGAAAGGGCAAGGGTCAAAGCTAATAATCATGTGAGTCATAGAGTGTCTTTTTCACATTGATATTTTAAAATAAAGATCTAGGTCAGGGAGAGGGATGGAGAAGTGAGCACAAAGGAGTTTGTCAGTGCTGGATAGCAATCTGAAAATTGAACAGGGATTTGAAGGAGGAAGTGAGGATGCTTGGTGTACCAGTAGAATGATGTCATCTCAGGTGTAAGAAGAAGGCAGTGTGGGGACAGTGTGACAGTGAGCTTTTGAGGAGAAGCAATAGGGAATAACTAGACCAAAAGAGTGAACAGAGCCCAGAGAGCAAAGTGGGGAGGGACAGGAGATGAGATATAGCCAGGGTCAGAGGTATGGCAAGCCTTACAAATAAGGGCAGGTATTAACTTAATGCAGGAGAACACTGGGACCAAGAAAAGAGATTTGAGGAGAGGGTCAGAGCAGTGGGAGAAGGTTATTTAGTTGCAGAATGTTGCATATATTGAAAAGAGTTGCTGTGAGTGTTGCAAATGCTGGAAACGTGGAGGTTTCTGTACTTTGGGTGAAAGAAAACAAAGAAAACAGGAGTTTTGCCAATGGGGATGTATTTGGGGAAATATTTAAGAAGTATGCACAAAAAGTAAGTTTTGGAGAGAATCTGGATCTGAGGAGGAAGTAAAAAAAGTAAAATAAAACTCTAATACTGCAAGTTTGATAGGTTGGGGCGGTAATGATGGAGCAATTGAGGAGATGAGAGGGTTTAGGAGAAAAGATTAGAAGTTCATTTTTTGCCATTGAAATTTAAGGTATCTATAGAACATATGTGAGGGGGTATCAATGTGATAAGAAGAGATGTGGGCCTGGACATATGGAGGTATGTCAGAAGTGGAGGAGCAGATTTAAAGGATAAGATAAGATTATGCTTCTGTCTAATTGCAGTGTATTCATTAATGATACTAGAACAATGTGAACATGCATTTTACTTCAAAAGAGTTGACAGTGAACCAATACCTGAAGGCTTGGAGGATTAAGCCTCCATGGGGAACCCAATACAGATGGTACCCACTATTCTACCCTTGAATCATTCCTCCTTCTCCCCATCACAAGGACTACTCATCTGGTGCTCTCTTTCCCCTAACAAGTCTGGTCCATCATTTAACCTTACTGTCGGTTGGAGGAAACATGAGCTGCCACACACTCTACCCTCTATACACATATGTTCATTTCTCCTGGGCCTATCTGACTCCTTCCAGTGCTTCCCTCTGGTTTTTGGTGTTGATGGGTGGTTGGTATACTAATGGGGTCTTCTGAAGTCCACTCAGTCTGGATTGCCACTTCCTTCCATCCTAAAGAATATTCTGGGTAAGTTAAACAACTCAGTTATATAGCACAAGTGTGAACAAATCCACACATCCTTGCTATCTAGCTCTACTGAGCTAGGGCTGAGAAAAGTTCTTCAATCTTTAGCATGGTAGTTAGGGAAACCCAAGGCTGCCACATTCTAGAGAACCTTGGCAAATCTTCTGCTAGAGTTTACCGACTAAGAGTTCTGACTGTCTCTGTGAGCTCAGTGCAGCTGCTAAGCAGGAAGAACAAAGATTCTTCTCTGTTCCTTCTTGACAGTTTTTTGGCAGGGTGAGCAGGGAGTGGGGTGGATCTGGGAAGGCATCATGTCCTCTGTCTGTTCGAGGCACTCTAAGTATTGAGATAAGGGAAACAGCCAATACCCTAGGAGGAATGAGCTGCATGAGGATATTGATGTATAATACTTCTAATAAACCCATCACCATGATATTTAGGGACCATACTCAAAACCAAGACTAGCATAATTTTAGCTCATAAAGGACCATACTGACTCTCCAAGTACAGGGTCCCCTTAAGACAGCTAATGTAAGAAGGAAGTCCAGTCTTAATTACGTTAAAAGCAAGCAGCTGCTGAGAGGAGAAGGTGGACAGGTTTATGAAGCGTGCAGAGCAGACAAATACACATCAAAACCCAAGTTCATATTCACCATATTTCAAAGGCAGAGGGTGCAGTTTGTGAATACAGCAAACCTTGAACAGTAGGTAAATTTGAAAGAGAATTTGAGGTTTGATTTAGATATTTTGCACAGCTTAAATACCTTCTTCCATTATTTACATGATTCACTTTTAGAAGGTAGGTCATTTGTGGACAGTGTCTTATTATACACATGACATTTTATTCATGTTGTACATTTATTCTTTCACAGAAATAGTAGTTCTTCAATAACTAAACTAAAGTTATGTGTGTAGATAGAAAGGAGAGCACAAAGATGACCAGTTACATTCTCATCTCCATTTTGTTCTTCTATGTGTGTATTTGCATACCTATTTAAATAATCTACCTAAACTTTTATTTTTTCCATAAATGGTATACTTTATACTGCCTCATCACCATGATACAATCTGAATACCTCCATGGTATCTGAGTGCCTATGTTTTTGAAAGGTAGTTCTGTTCAGCTGTAAGTTGGAGCTAGATTCTTCTTCAAGTGTCCTCTGCAAATTCTCACTTTTGGGATATGTGCCAACTGGTGCCATTGAATTGTGCAGACTTCTGTTAGCAGTGCCTGTTAGAGTGCTCATATGCCTCCTCTCCCTCCTCGCCTCAGTGTTTGAGCCCATCAGTTCCTTCCAGCTGCTGATCATGGATGGATGTGAGCCTTCTTCAGATTCCATGTGAGCCCTTGGTTATATTGCCTCAAAATCCCAAGACCCCTGTCACCTCTGACACTACTGCAGAGCCCTACCTCAGTGGTATCCCCAATTATTTCCTTGTCAGATCTGGGCTTGGACCCTCATTCAGAGGAAGAGTTGGATCCAACCATTTATCCAGATCCTTAACTTTCTAAGGAGCATTCTTCTGAGATGGAGTATTGTAAATGCATACGTTCTCCTAACTGTGATATTGTACTGGACTGGACAAGCTGGAAGGACTGGGAAGTGCATCTCTGGATGCCTTGGCCATTCTGCCCAAATCCAGAGTTTCCATCTCAACCTGTTTCAAGAGCTAGCACATTGCATCTGCACTGAGGCAGGAATATTTTTGCAGATTTTTCCAGGACACTCAGTCTAAGACACTCGGATCTGGGACACTCAGATCCCACGCTAATGGATCCCATACCAAGGCCCTTCATGGTTATCCAAGACATCTTATATGATGAGGAAGAGAAATGTGTTGCAACTCCACAAATCAAGATTTTGCATCAGCACCATGAACTCATGGGCAGCTCCGCTCCAGATGAAAATGTAGGAGTAGCCTCAGCTCCCTCAACTTCTGAGGATGGAATCCAATTCCACAAGTTAGTCAGCAGAATGATTTCTACTTTAAAATTGGCTTCTGTTTCACTGGAGGGGATTCCTCATCCTGGTTTTTACATCCTTGGAAATATCCATTCTGGAGGGTCTTTGGCAGCTAGCAAAATCAATATGGAATATTCCATCTTTCTGCCAACCAATTGCTAAGAAAGCAGATAAACTTTATCAGATCCTGTATGATGGGTTTTCTTGTTTTCACATGCATCCTGCCCCTAATTCTCAGATAGTGACTGCAACAATCAAAAATGGGGTATTTATATTCTACTCCCAGTGACAGAGAGGAAAAACATTAGATTATTTAGGAAGAAAATTATTTTCTTCATCCTTAGATATCTTTTTGTTATCTTCCTCAATAAAGGCAGACAGCAATACCAGCATCAGCACTACTTAAATGCTTCTTAACAATATAAAAGGCATCCCTTGAAATCCAATATGAGAAAAAAGGATTTATCGTCCACTTCTTCTTTAAGTGAAGTTAGACCTCACTGAGGAAGCAGTAGATGTGGTATATCTTGACTGTAGTAAGGCTTTTGATACTGTCTCACATGAAAGATTGAAAAAAAATGGTTTGTTTCGTCAGGAAAAGAGAAGACTGAGGACAGGAGCATGATAACAGTTTTCAAGTACATAAAAGGTTGTTACAA